AAATGATAATAATGTTGCCCTAACTACTAAGTTTTGGGGTGGTTTTAACAGCCATAGTTAAAAGAGGTCTTCTTCGGCAGGGGGCCCCAACCCCCCGGCCACGGACCAGTAGCGGTCCTCGGCCTGTTAGGAACCGGGCCGCACAGCAGGAGGTGAGCAGCGGACGAACGAGCAAAGCTTCATCTGCCGCTCCCCATCGCTCGCATTACCTCCTGACCCACCCCCCCCCACCCCCACCACTGCTCACATCCGTGGAAAAATTGTCTTCCATGAAACCGGTCCCTGGTGCCAAAAAGGTTGGGGACTGCTATTCTTCAGGACATGTGACAAACAGAAAGTTAAAAATGTTTGACCAGGGGACTTCCCTGGTGGCACAGTGGTTAAGAATCTGCCTGCCAATGCAGGGGACACGGGTTCGAGCTCTGGTCCGGGAAGATCCCACATGCCACAGAGCAACTCAGCCCGTGCGCCACAACTACTGAGCCTGCGCTCTAGAGCCCGCGAGCCACAACTACTGAGCCCGCGCGCCACAACTACTGAAGCCTGTGTGCCTAGGGCCCGTGCTCCACAAGAGGAGCCACCACAACAGGAAGCCCCTGCACTGCAACAAAGACTAGCCCCCGCTCGCCGCAACTAGAGAAAGCCCGCGGGCAGCAATGAAGACCCAACGCAGCCAAAAATAAACTAAGAAAAAAAAAGTTTGACCAGACAAAGGTTCAAACCTACTTACTACTGTGGTTATAAGGCAGAGGCTTTGTTTGCTGAGCAACTGAATAAAAGAACCAATGGAGCTAAGGAACGACCGTAGAGTGGGTGCCAGCCATCTCTGACAATCCTCTTCACACCCTCCTTTCCAGCCCTGAAGCTATGATTTAAATGAGATAGAATAAGGTGTACAAAAATATCTAGCACCCAGCCTGGTTCATGGTAAGCGCTCAAAAAATGCTTACAAGTCCACTCATGCATTCTTAAAGCAGTGATATGAACATGAACACATCTGTTCAGGGGCGCCATGGTGAAATGGTTAAGATCATTCTGGAACCAGCCTGGGCTCAGATCCTGGCTCCCACAATTACAAACTGTGTGGCCATAGACAACCTACATAACTCCTCCAAGCCTCAGTTTCCTCACCTGAAAATGAGGGTAACAGTGCCTACCTCACAGGATTGCCGTGATGATTCAATGAGTTATATGTTAAGCGCGTAGAAGGTGCCTGGCACACGTTAAGGTCTATGTCAGTGTTAACTGGTAAGGTTTCCATTGTTGTTGCTTTGCTCTGCATCTTGGATTCAGTCAGTCAATTACGCTGGCTGCTATGCTCCAATATTTACAGGATTTACATTTAAAGATTTCAAAACTGAGAAATCATTAATGAGGATCATTAAATGTCATTTTAAGTCTCTTTTTTCTTCTGGGTTTCTCCCCAGATACAGTCAGATCAAAACCTAGTGCTTGGTGAAATCCTGGAAAAGTTAGCAACTCATTGCGAGAACTCGGCCAAGAAAAGTGACACGTGAGGTATGTGTGGAGAATGACGAACCCAATGTGCCAAGACCCCAGGATGCTGTGGAGAACACGGGGACGGGGCGTGATGCACAGGAAGGCGCTGGTTCCTTGCGGTCTCAAGCAGGTCCCTGAACCTATGGCTCGGGGCCCTCAGTGGTAAAGGGGCGACACCACTACAGCACCTGCCCCCACCCCTGACAGCAGCGAGGAGGGGAAAGGGAGACATCCCTAAGGAGCCCTGGTAATCCCTACGGCACTGGGCAAAGGTTAGGATGTATCTTAATCTCCTTTGGGGTCTCACTTTGTACAACTGGAACCTTTTACATTTCTGAAAGTTTTCAAATAAGCCCAAACTCCCGTTCCTGCCAACAAGCAAGGTTCCTGCAAGTACCTTTTATGAGAGCTAAGGAGAAACATATTTTAAGACACTAAAGAATAGATATTTTTCTGACTATTCTCAAAAATAGCTCAGTTGACTTTATAAAATCACCTTTGAAAACAAAACAACAAAAGAACTCACCATCGCTCTGCATCTCAGCCCAGTAGGCCGCTGCTCCGGGGAGGGCCTTACATAACGGGAGAGTAGACTGGCCTGATTCTGGGAGGGTCTGGGGATGACCTGCTATTCTGATCCCCGGGACCTGCTTTGTGTCTATTCCAATTCCCCCTTCCCTCCTGTTTCGACACTTTACAAAAGGGCTTAGAAGTTCTATTTCTGATCCAGTGACTCTTCCAGCCACCGATGGATTTAGACCAGATTTAGCCCAAGGCTCGGCGGGTGACAGGCCCACAGGGGCCAGCAGGGAGAGATGGATCCCGAGCCCGCCCCAGGTCTCGCAGCCTGGCTGTCGCATGGGTGGCTGGCCCTGCCCGAGGGCTCTGGGAGTAAGGACACCTCTCCTTCCCTGGCCATCTTTCCACCCCACAACCAGGGTCTCCATGTGAGGGGCAAGAGGGGCCTTATGAAGGCAGGAGAGGAGGAGAACAAATGGTCCTGCAGAGGGGCTGGAAGATATGGGGCCACCCCTGGGCCGCCTTCCGTCTCCCTGGGGAGCTAGGGTGAGTGGCTTCAGGGATAGCAAGTTAAGGACTAGGCAGCTGTTTGGTCACGGTGAGGACAACCCCGAGAGGTCCGCGGCAAGCCCTGGGCCACACAGCACTGTGGGCCCTGCGTCTCCTGCCCAGGTCTACGTCTGGCTGGCGCAGCCATGTGGTGAGGAACCGGGACGACCCACAATTTTCTGAACATACCGTGGCACACTGCCTTGGGGCTGTTTTGTGTGTCCCCTCCCCACCTCCACCCTGATCCAGCACGCAGAGCAAGCAGTCCTAGAGGGAGGAGGGACACGGGAGCCCACGGAGGGAGTCAGCCCCACTGCCTGGACTACCTAAAGTGGGAAGACTCCCTTCCCTTTTCCACCTCTGCAGGTGGGATCCACACAACTAGAGCTGAGCCAAAACACAAAACCACGGCAGGCCTCGCTACGGGCCAGTGTGTTAACTACTTACATTTACAGAGTCCCAAGTGTCACTCATCTCTCTGTGACCAGAGCTGGATTTCTCTCCACCCTCCTGACCTTCAGCAAAACCTGTCCAATCCTGAGATAGATGTGTGGCCGGGCTTTATCTCCGTCACTGCCTGAAGTCCACCCCATCCTCCTGTGCTCCCGTCGCCCATTCCAAGGCCAGTGTCTGCAACTGTGCACTGCACAGTGTGGCACTGGTCCCCCTCCCAGGAGTTCCGGGATACAGCTTTGGAGGCAGCCACCCTGTGTCAGTGGAGCCCCCAGGTCCGGGCTCTGTACGCAGCAGACGTTTAATACAAGTCTGCTGGTCATTCTCCCATGTAAAATATGGGGAAAGAAAGCTGCCTGAGATGAATAAGCAGCAGAGACTTACTTGCCTTCACAGCCCCTCTGGCATCTGCAAAGGACTCAATACATCTGATTTTGCTGCGTAGAGCCTGTGAATCAGATGCCGATTCCCTCCAAGGATCGGTCAAAGTGGCACAGGCCTTGAATGCTAAACCACCCAGTCCTCAGGCGGTACATCTGAGCCAGAAGAATGAAAGAAGATTCGTGCCAACACCGAGATGGTTCGGCAGTATCACTGACTCCAAACCGGGGTTGGGTCACCTCCCCGGGCCCCAGCCAAAAATATGACAAAGCCCACTGTTCTGATCTCCACTAAGGTGCCCTTGCCATCTTGGCTGCTTTGCAGTATCACAGCAGTAATAGCTACAACCAACAAAGTGCTTACCATACGCCAAGCAGTTTACACACGTCGACATACATGTTGATGCAGAGGAGGGAGGAGAGCCCTAGGAGAGGACAGTGTCACACATCCCAGGTCATTCTCTCATCCGGTAACCATCTGAGTGCCAACCATGTGCTATGCTCTAGGCCAGGCACTGAAGATGCAAAGAAGAGTAAGACACAGCACCTGTCCTCAGGGAGCCCACAGTTTGTGGAAGAAAACAGAAAAATAGGCCAATGACACCAAGTGAGAGATGCCATAATGGGGGCATTAACTTAGGTCTGGCTTCATGGCGTCTAGTGGATCCTGAACAAAGCTAGTCATGTTCTTTTGTATCAATTACTTAAATTCCCTAAACCCCCATCTCTTCATCTGTAATATAGGGATTAATAGTACCCACACCAAAGAGTTCTGTGAAGACAATCTATACAAAGTGCTTACCTCGGGGTACATAAAAACAAAATAAAATAAATAATGATGATCACTCTTTTAGTTAACCACAAAATAATTGATTTTATGCACAGATTTAAAATATGACATCTTAATGTATTTCTAACTTCTTCTCACGCGCATACATTTTTAAAACACTCAACTCTTCCAAATTTGTACTTTGAGTCTTTACTGGAGGATCACTAAGGTGACCATGTAAGTTATTGCCCAAACCAGGACACTTCTGAGAGTGGGGAGAAAAGGAATGATTAATAATTCCACTGGGACAATGGGGTAAACCAGATGTACCATTATGAACAAAATGGAACTGCTGATGACTCTATCGTTCACAGGCCAATTTCCGGGGCAAGGTCAGCAGCCATCACTAAGGCTTCCTTTCTCCATCATTTTTAAGAGCTGCCAACAACTCTGGAAATAGGCCCAACAAAACTCCAAGCTGGAAGAGAGCCAGTACCTGTGCCACCCCATCTAAAAATCAGGAAAGTCAATGCACATGAACAACCCCACCTCCACCCTGCCATACACACAGCCACACACACACACAGCCACACACACACACAGCCACACACACAGCCACACACACACACACACACACACACACACACACACACACACACACACACACACACACACACACACACACCT